AAATAATAAAATAATTGCTACTTGCTACTTTGTGGATTTTGTCTATCGTGAGGACGGCCTGGAATATTACCTGTACTACCAGATATTTTAAATGGCATCACACAGCACTGGCGTGATTGTAGGCGTTAGCCGACATCACTAGCTGCTGCTCCAGATAGCCGTTGCTGGTTGCAGCGAAGTCGTTTTAATCATAACTACCATGTGAGTCATGTCCACTCGATAAAACTGTTCGTAATGAAAAGACCAGAAAAAAAAAACATTTTCAAGTTACTTTTTGTAAAGAAAAGCATGTTTTTGTTTTTATGAACCAAAACTGAATCCAAAGCGCATTGACACAGTATAAGAATGAACCGTCCACGTTCAGAGGTATCAAAGCCGTAATACAGGTGGGATGATACCTGTGTCAATGAATTCTGCAATGTCAGGACAGGGAACATAACGTTTAACACATGAGATTCACTTTTCTCATTACATTGCAGTTGAAGACAGTCGTCGCTGTCTGACAGGTATTTTATACATCCAGCATATTAGCATATATTGTCAGCTAATTATTGCAGGAAGCCAAGTTGCTATACGACTGCTATATCATCCTAGCCTGCACTGGGTTCTCTGTATAAAGCACTCTTTTGTTATGGCACTGAGGTAACAATGTGGCAAGATCTCTTTGGTAAAATGGTAGAATACCGCCAGATTTTATTGACACCAGCACAATCAACAGAATTATTTTCAGAGTCCAAAAGTGGAGGTTGTACCCCAAAACTTCTTCCTGTTTCAGTAAATTGTTGCTGAAAAGAACTTGACTTAATCCCCTCAAACCTAATAGGTGCTCTGCTGGAGCTGACCCGTGAACTGGCGGGAAATGGAACGAGGCAAGTGCAATCACTGGATATAACAAGCACAGATGGGCAGGTTACCCTATTTTGCCGGTCCGTCCTCGATCTGTGAGCGGGGTACCATTCCGTCATCGTCCCTCTGTCCTTATTCATATAATAATCGTCCTCCGTGCCCGTCCGCCCTCATACTTTTATTTTGCTTCCCGTCACCACATCCCTGACCTGGTTAGGGACGATTAAATTATAGGGATGGACGGAAACCCGCTTCTGTCTTTGCTTATTCTGTCCTTTAAAAAAGAAAACATCTCGTCCTCAGTGTCAAAAATGGGCATCCATTCTAGACTCAGGGAAGGACTGTTGGGCCCATCTCTGATAACATGATCTTAGTTGCGTGGTGCAATGCTGACAACAAATGTTCAAAAAATAAACAATTAAATAAAATATTGGAGGGCAAACAAACCACCCCCCCAATATATATATATATATATATTCGGTGAAAACTGCCTTATGTACACTATACAAAAGCTGTACTGTATGTCCAAACTGTGACACAACTCACTATGAATGGAGAAGTCCATTGACAAAATAATGCAAAGTTGCGTAGAAATGAAGCCGACAAGCAAAGTGTGAACAGAGTGTCTACACGGGAGTGTGGTGGTGGTGGTACAGATGTCGGAGTGGGGGTGTGGAGGGTGTTGGGTATACGGCAGAGGGGGTGCTGGTGTGGTGATGATGAGACGAGACACGAGCCACATGAGGCCCCCGTGACAATGTGCCCTGCAGTATGTCCAGCAGTCTACTTTTGCACGTGTGAGCACGCACACACACACACACACACACACACACGCACACGCACACGCACACGCACACGCACACGCACACGCACACGCACACGCACTTATGCAATCACATGCTATGAAAATAAAAAATAGTAATACTAAAAAATTAAATGCAGCAATATATCCTTATTTTTTTTCTTTACACTTTTTCTCTTTTATATTTTTATGAAATTTCCATATAGAGGAATAAAGTAATAAAGTAGTCTATCTCGTCTGTGTACCAATGTGCAATTCCTTGGGTTTGCCTACCCTCTAGTGGTATGATGTTTAATTGCACTTTTCTGGTCCTATCATACGGTACCATACAAATAAATATTTGTATTAAACATAAGGGTGAATACAAATTTCATTTTAGTTCATAAATTACTGTGTGTACATTCAGTAGAGATTCAGTAGAGTGCAAGGCATCCTGTCATCCATTGTCTCTCGTGTGAGTGAGCTGGAACCTATCAAAGGTGACTTGGGGGCGAAAAAAAAACGGGGCACACGCACTACAGTTACCTTAATTGATAAGTAGACACACAATCAAACGCAGAGTGCATGTAGACAAACACTTAGGGTCAAGCTTTTGGACAATTTAGTCTTCAGTGCAAGTATTTATTTGTTTTTTGAAAGAAATAATGAATAAATCTTGTTCAAATGAGTTCATGTGTTGTGGTTCGCCAGTCACGTTACTTTGCCAAGATGGTTGTTTGTTGGAATTAATCAAATGATTGACAGTTTGTGAAGCGTTTCAGAATTAGTTGGTTAGTTCTTGTTATTGTGCACGCTTGTCTGGTCGTGTCAGTAAGCAGGCTACACTTGTTTTTTTTTTTTTTTTTTTCAAATTACCCGGTAGAAGCTTCAAATTAGCTTATTTTAGTTGGACATGTTTTTTAATAGGCTATTTTGCACGTTCGTTGGCTCACGTTTGTAAGTTGTTGGCTTGTTTGATCAAGATATGTTCGTTAGTTGGTTGTTTTGCTATACTGTATTTGGTTAGTTGTAGTTATTTTTCCATCTTGTTTGTTCCGGTTAATAATATGGTCATCTGATAATTCAGTAAGCTATTTAATTCAAAATGTTTTTTTTTTTTTGGAAATAATTTATTGTAGTTTGTAACTTTTAAGTAAATTTTCCAGTTTGCTTGTTGAACCTAGTAAATTGGTTTGATTGTTCGTTCAAATGAGTTACTTCAAGTGAGATGGTTGCCTCTTGTGCTTTTTTGAGTAAGTTGCTTCATTTGTTTGAATTGGCTGCCTTGAGTTATTTGCTTAGCCTGTTTATTTAAATGGACGACATGCCATCTATTGCAGCAGTAGCCACTATTTATAGAAATATCATACATGGAAGGATCAATTCCTAGAATGCAGATCATTATACCGCACTCTTTTGTGGAATCCTTAACTTGTGCAAAATTCTTCTCACATAAAAAAATAAAATAAATAATAATCATTTCACAAACAGAGTGACATTGTTTTAAAATGGCAACAGAGAGGCTCGCATTACACGCGATGTACTTTGGAAGTAAAGGAAAAAAAAAAAAACCCAAAACATCCCAAATCTGGCAAGGCAGCGTTTGCGGAACCATGCTGGCGTCGCACACATGTTGCGGTCACCGCAAGTCAATTCCAGTTTGGGTCAGCGGCACAAACTGGTCCACCTCCACCATGAGGGTGTCTTTAAAACGATACTCCCTCCGGGGAGGTGTTCTGTCTGTGGCCACAGTTTCACCCATTGACTCTTATTGTAGAATTCTCTTCAAATCACCCTCCTGACCTCATCCCCTCCCTGGAAGACCACCCCTGCCTTCGCCAACAGAGAAAGGTCACATTTCTGAAAAGTGACGTCCATTCTAGTTCCACGCTGGGTCGTCACTTTCAATTTCCTAAGACCTTTTATGTCACACACTCATCAACCTCAAAAGACAACTGCACAGACCCCCCACACACACATACACGCCACAAGTTGATTCACATGACTTGATTACTCAGTGTATTAACTTCCTGTTAATCTTACAGAATTGCAATAATATTTTACAGAACGTTTCAGTCTGTTCATAAAATGGAGTGTAAATGGATACGCAAAGTGCAGCAAGTGACATACTGCATGCCACTATGCCCTCAGTGCGACCTAAGTAAAGTCGGGCGATAACCGCACCTGACTGCTGACAATGCGTGTGACCTTTTGCCGATCCGGAAGCCATCTATTTTGATTACACCAGTCGCGACAGCGGTGGACGTGATACTACATCACACCTACTATTTATGGTCTCTTTACTCATTCAATCTTTAGTACAGTGATCACATTGGCTAACTCAGGGAGGTCTTGCTTGTTTGCTTGTCAGCAGGGGGAATGAAAAAAGTACGGAAACCAGAGGGGCAAATTTCAATTGACCTCAGCTGGCCTTGGTGGAGGAGTCGTGTTATGGAAACTTAGTGAAGTAAATCTAACCCGATGACTGTTTTTTCGGTCCGAAACCAGGATGTTGTTTAAACAGATGGTTTGTTTCATTGGTTAGTTAATTTGTTTGAGTAGAGTTGGCAAATTCATTTGTTCCACTGAGTTACATGACTAGTTTTTCAAGGTTGTAACGTAAACAGCCATTTGTTTGGTTTAGTTGTTTAATTTGTTTGAGTTTGGTATTTGGCTGATTTGTAGGCTGAAGTTAGTAAATTGCTAGTTAGTTAATTAGTTGCTAAGCTTGTTTATTGATGTTTGTTGGCCTTTGTTTGTTTGAGGTAGTTAGTTGGCTTATTTGTTTGTTTGAGCTATTTGTTTGCATATTTGGTGAATTCTTCTGGTTTGGTAGTTGGCTAGTTGTTTTTTTTCCCCAAAGTAAACTGGTTACTTTGTGTTAGTTAGCTAGAGTCGCTCAATTAGCTAATCAGAGTGTACATAGCTTCATTTTTTTCTACTTTAAGTGTTCGATAGTGAACCAAAAATGGCATCTTCTTCTGTTCACCATTTTATCGGATGTTGAGAGAGCAGTGAAAAGGAGAGTTTCACTCAACAATTAAAATATATGTCACAGCTGGTGAATGTGATTTTTTTGCAACTGAAACTCAGCGCACAGTCAGCACATCAGGTTATAGACAGTTGATGAAGCACATAGCATTAAGCTGGAGCATTAGAGGTTTTCTTCAGTCACTTTTCTTTTCTTGGATTCACCCGTCGTTGACCTAGCAGGCGTCAAATAGCTCAGTAAATCACATATGCGCTTAATGTGATGCATATTTTGAGCAACCCCAAAAAATGTTTATAATCTTCAAATGTATACCGGTAATTTAAAAAACAAAATAAACTTTAAATACAAGTTAACTGAAAATGAACTATTTGCTTACCGGTATTTATTTTATTCATTTATTTTTCCCAAGTTATAGAGGGCCACATCAGACGGACGAAAGAGCCACATGCGGTGTAGAGCCGTAGGTTTCAGACTCCTTTTTAGAGACAAAGGAACATCAGACAATCAAGCAATTCTTTTCTTCATTGTGCCACAAAAAAGGACCTAATGGAAACAAAAGAGTGCACTGAACTGAGGATGTTCAATTCTTTGCTCAAAGGCACCTCAAACAGCATTCAGGGGCAGTGAACTGGTTCCTTTCCAAGCATCGCTAAATTTTGCTGAAATGCAGCTGGGTTCAGCTGTACCAGACTACCACAGAGTGATCTCAACGTGCATCTGTATCTTTTGAATCTTTCTCCGAAGTCTAACGCTGAGTTCTATGTATACGTGTCGCTAGAAAATCATGGTACGCCACAGGGTGGCGGCTGTAGATGAAAGTTCTGGAAAAGAAAACACAAAACAAAACATGTGTGGTCCATCCATCACCTCTGGATAAATGTGTGAACCCTGAAGTTAACCTCTCACAAGCACACAAGCATGTGCCACACTGCGTGCATGCACTGGCACAATTTGAAATACTACAACTCCTGGTCCTACGTTGTATTAATGCTGCAGGTATCAGAGCCACAATGGCTTGTTTGTGTTGGTTAGTTAAGGGTTAGTTGGTGAGTTTGTTTAGTTGTTTTTTTTTTTTTTTTGAGGAATTGTTCTTGAGGATGTTTGAGTTTCTTTTAATGTTCATTTTATGGAGTTATGAGCATGTTGGTAAACTCATCTGTTTTAGTTTGTGTTTAATTGTTACTGTAAGTGGTTTCACAGCGGAATTACTTGTTCATTCCAATTAGTTTGATGGTGGTGATTTTTTTTTAATTTTAAATTTGTCTTTCCAGTTTGTAAATGAAGTTATCTTGTTTGATTGCACTTAGTATTAGTTTGAATCAGTCCATTAGTTTATTGGTTGGACTTGTTTTTGCTTGAAATATTTGTTCTCTTCAGTTTGTTAGCCCCTCCATGAGCCCTCACCGTATTGTGGTGGAGGAGTTTGTGTGTCCAAAATGATCCTATGAGCTAAGTTGTTTGTGGCCGCAACCCTCGAACCCGTTGGTGGACATCAAGCTGAAGAAGGGAGTCCTATTGGGCCTTTTTGGCATTCAGGACTTCAGATAATGGGTACAGGCTGGCCAAGTGTAACGCAGCTTCACTGGTCATCGAGGCAAAAACTCGGGCGTAGGAGGAGGTCCATAAGGCCATGGAGAACGACTTCTGGACGGCTTCGAGGACATTCTGGTCCATCACCCAGTCTCTCGGGAAACAGTGCACCATCAACACTGTGTATAGTGGGGCAGCTGAAGTATCTAGGGGTCTTGTTCACGAGTGAGGGAAGAATGGAAGAACATGATGAAGTGGCTGGGGACAGGGAAGTCTGGGCTTCTCTGCTAAAGCTACTGATCCCGTGGCCCTACCCCATATAAGCAGAAGTAAATTGATGAATGGATGGATAGTTCTTAGCCTCATTTGAATTAGTTCTGAGTTTGTTCGGCAGCCTTTTTGTTTGAATTTGCGTTGTTCATCAATTGCTTCGATTATTTGATTTAGAGTTATTATCGTGGTCGTGCCACTAGATAGTTGTGACTTATGTTATGTCCCACAAAATTAGAACATTCCATAAAACGTATACAGTTCCTAATTTGGATTATATAACAAAATAAAGCCTCTTAAATTGAAAACAAACACACATAAATAATGACCCATCATGCTAAAACTATCTTGCAATGCAAAGCAGTGAATGAGTCTGTATTTGCAATGCACGACGCATCAAAAAGCCCGGTTGGTTGTGCGCGTGATATGAAAAAGCAGAGGTGGGAACTGAGAGCACGGATGCATTTCCAAGTATTACAACTCTTTATGCCATGACTGGAAGAGCACACAGCACGACAAGCAGTCAATCATTGCTTCAGTGTCAATCTTAATGCATTGCTAACTTTTGTTACTTGATCCTCTATAGCGCCATGGCTGATAACAACAACACCAACCGGAGCAGTTGCGACGTGCTAGTTGATCAGCAATCCGCTGTGGTCCTCTTCCCCATCTTCTACTCTCTGGTCTTCATCTTCAGCGTGTGCGGCAACGCTTTGGTCCTGGCGGTGATCTGCCAGAGACGGCAGAAGTTTAACTCCACCGCTGTGTACCTGCTCAACCTGGCTTTGTCGGACACCCTATTCACGCTGACACTGCCGGGAAGGATCTTTTACTACATCCGACGCTTTGACTGGCCCTTTGGTGACCTCCTCTGCAGGATGAGCACACTCCTGTTCTTTGCCAACACATACGCAGGTAAACAAGACGGACAAGGCTATTGACTATTGATACACACATCCTAATCAATTGTACTCCTAAGCCACAATGGACACCGATTTTCTACGAGCAAAACGACGAGAAACTAAATTCCACCTCTTCCGTTGTCTTGCATCAAGCACTGTTTGTAGCAAGCTGCACAAGTGTATGTGTAGGCACGCTGACTTTACTTTATTTCACCAACAACCCCAAACCACAGTTTAGTGGTGAAATGTGACTCTATTTTAAACTATGCATCAAGTCATCACAATATAAACATAAGAAAAGAAAATTTCTCTCTCTGGGGGAATGGAAACAGAAACTTTTGGGTCATAGATCATATTTGAAATCATCATTCATTCATTTTCCGATCCGCCTTATCCTCACAAGGGTCGCGGGGGGTGTTGGAGCCTATCCCAGCCGTCTTTGGGCAGTAGGCGGGGGACACCCTGAAACGGTTCCCAGCCAATCGCAGGGCACACAGAGACGAACAACCATTCGCGCTCACAATCACACCTCCGGACAATTTAGAGTGTTCAACCAGCCTGCCATGCATATTTTTGGAATGTGGGAGGAAACCGGAGTACCCGGAGAAAACCCACGCAGCCCGGGGAGAACATGCAACCTATTTGATATCATTTGATAATGATTGTTTTGCCCCTCACTTGGGAACATCACAGACATCATTTTAAATTTGTAGTAAAATGTCCAATTAATTTTAACCATGGGGACAGCGGATCTTCTTAACATAAAGCTTCTTCAAGTTGTAATATTTGGATATTGTTCACAATTTTGGGAAGAAAAATGTCCAATTTGAAATGTAAGGAAGAGGTGTGATAATCCTTTTAACCTTATGGAGTGGAAAGTCTGACACCATACAATGTTTGCAAAAATGATGCCTTTAACGACATAAGAAAAAAATTCGGTCCCACAAACAATCTCAAATTGAGCTGAAAAGTTTATTCATTTATTAAAGTTTCGGAAAACTCTGCCCCAAACATCGCACAACCCCCCTGATTTGGAGAAGTCATCCTTTAAAATGTAACCTGTACTTTTAACTTTGTACGAGTGAAAAAAATAAGTATTTTCAGATAATTGGGCTATTTCTTTCGAAAATTTGAATTTCCAGTGTCTACGACATCCTCCTTAATTCCTTTTCTCACTCAGTGTTGTAATTTGTTTCTATCTCTAAAGTTTTCAACCCAGTATTACCGGTACTTCTACCCCCAGGTATCGGCTTCATGACCTGCATCAGTCTGGATCGCTATGTGGCCGTGGTGCACCCTCAGCGGTTGCGCGGTCTGCGGCAGGTCAAGATGGTCCGCCGGGTCTGTTGCTTGGTTTGGGCTCTGGTGTCGGCTCAGGTTGCTCCTCTGCTGTTCCGCAGCATGCTTCAGTATCACAAGGGCAGACGGACCTGCATGGAGTACTTCAACCTCGGTAGTTCCCAGTGGATGCCGCACTTCCTGCTCCTGGCCTGTGTCGTCTCTTTCTGCTGCCCGCTCGCTGCCATCCTGGCCTCCTACGCCAGCGTCCACCTGAAGCTGCGGGCGGCAACCAAGCGGAACTCAGTGTCGAGAAGGAACCAACGGGCCAACGGCATTATTCTCCTCATCCTCCTCACCTTCATCTTGTGCTTCAGCCCGTACCACCTCAACGTGATGCAGTTCATGTGCCAAAGAATGCACCATGAGGTCTCGTGTGAAGAGCTGAGGGGCTTCAAGATATCCTCCCAGGTAGGACATCACTTGAGTGACCGTCTTCTTAATAATATTTAGTTCAATATTCAGTGAACCTACATTTTGGCGGATACATTCTAAAACCACCCTCTATAGCATAGGTGTCAAACTCAAGGATCAGGGCTTGATCTGGCCTGCCACAACATTTTATGTAGTCCACAGAAGCAAATCAAACATGTCAACTTCCATGATGCATGCTAAAATCTGTTCCAAAATTTCAAATCCTCATTTGTAATAAATCAGAAAGATATTGTAAGCCTTGTTTTGTTACCAAACCCGTCATTACAGTAACTTAAACAATAGTTGAATAAACCGTAATTCTTGACTTCTTTACATTGCTTCCGTCATAATGGCCCTCCAAGGACAAACGGTTGTTTTTTTTTTGTTTTTGTTTTTTTTTAGAGAATAGCTGAAGTCAGCCTCCACAGAAATGTTGGTGAATTTGTGAATGGTGATTTGAAAACAGGCAGTGAATCACTGCACATGATAATGTTGTATAAGACAAAGTATCAAGACATTGACTGGATCTGACAGTGCACTGTCCAATGCGAAATCGCCACTACATATAGTAATATTGATATTCTTGTTCCAGATTACCGTCTCGCTCATGAATTTCAACTGCTGCTTGGACCCAATCATCTACTTCTTTGCCATTAAGACGTACAAGAAGCAAATGTTGAGCCTCATGGGCCACCTGTGGGCTTCCTCCAACACCACCTCATCCACGACAGCTGAGAACAGCAGCAGCAACAGCTGAGAAATCAACACAGCGTAATCCATCAAACAAACATTTAATTTCTATACTGTAGTTTGGCTGCACCCCAATATTTGATTAACTCATATTTTTAGTGTCTTCTTTGTTATGTATAGATTGCAGAACTTTCTGGTTAAAGAAGTTTTGAGTGCATTTGTGACGAAATTAAATACAATTTAAACACATCTGTCACCCTCCTTACCTGTTTCAGCTACATCAGAAGGGCAAAACACTTCTCAGTAAGAGGCGTTCCTGTGAGTGTGGGAGGCTTGTGGTGAATGCCAATGCCACTTCCTCATGCATTGTTCCTGTACACTCTCACGCACAAGTGTGTGTGTGTGTGTGTGTGTGTGTATGTGTGTGTGTGTGTTTGTGTGTGTATTACCCGGTTCGATTTCAGCTCCGGACTTCCTGTGTGGAGTTTGCATGTTCTCCCCATGCATGGCAGGGTGATTGAACACTCTTTAAGTGTCCCTAGGTGTGAGTGTGAGCGCAGATGGTTGTTCATCTCTGTGTGACCCGCGATTGGCTGGCAACCGGTTCAGGGTGTCCCCCACCTACTGCCCGAAGACGGCTGGGATAGGCTCCAGCACACGCCTTATGAGGATAAAGCAGATCGGAAATGGATAAATTCAACGTGGCATTTTTTTTCAGTGTACCCTGCCAACCCTGACTGCACATCCCTGCATGTAAATATAATTTGCCAAAGGCCTTCAGAATCCCAAGTGCTCACATTGAACACAGACAAACAGATCATTGAAATGGTTGTTAATCATTTTAACCCATAAGATTTTCAGATTCATCACTCTACTGAAAGAAAATGTACACTTTAGGATGATCGGCCAACCAAGATGGTTGCGGGCTGGCTTGTTTACATAGATTTTTTTGGGGGCATTTTGAGAGCTTAAGAACACTACATCTGGCTTACACAGAGGCAGGAGGTCTGCTGTGTCTGTGGTGAGTTTTTTCATTTAAAGTTTCTTGTATTAACTGCAAGCTGCTTGCAGCTCTCACAAAGCCTGTGAACGTCAAACAAAGCTGCAACACCTGCTCTCAGCCAGAAGATGGCACTGTTTCGCCAAATACTGCTTCCATCTCCAAGAGGAACTTTTGTCTGCACCGTTATTCATTTATTTATCACTTTTCTGTACCAATTGTGTTCATAGAGTCGTGGGTGACAAGAAATCTGTTCCAGATAACTTTGGACTTGTTCACAGCCAAGTATAGAGCACATACTGGGGTCGGCAAGCCACGGCTCTTTCATCTTTATGTTGCGGCACTGCGTAGCTCGGAAAAATGTCCGACAGATGTGGATGGTATTGGTCTCAGAAACGTCAATCACTTCTGTTATGGTCTCTGACTGTACACTAGGTGTAAGTGTTGCTATAAAAATACTGTCAAGATGAAAAAGGAAGGAGAGCAGTTCTATAATGGCGACTATCGTGAGTTGTATGAACTCGTCTTGTGCTGTTAAGAGCCTGTTGAGACAATACAGTGTTTGGCTACACTCTGGCCTTGTTATTTTGCCTCCCGACACCACAACCACTTTCTTCAGACCTTGTGCAATTTCGGTGATCAGCATTCGATTTCTTCAGAGAGGCTTGCGAGCACTTGACGTGTCAGCAGGCAGATTTGACAGGCGGCATTCGAAGAAAGTCCAGCGATAGCAGAACTGCACAGTATCTCAACAAAGTATTTTATTTCTGTTTGTTTGTTTAATTGTCGTTAACAAATGTTTTGAGGTGCCACATATGTTTTTATTGCACAGCAAACAACATGGCGTGATTATCAAGGAGAAAGCAGATTGCCCTGGCTGCTGCAGTTACAATATGTTATAATGATATTAAGAGAGGAAACTGGTAAGAAATAGAGAGAGTGTGGATATTTGATAGGCAATAGTTATGAATGATCAATCACCCCATTCATTGACTGCACTTTGGCAACAGAGCCTCTCCACACTTTGCTTTTTAGCCACGTACATATGAAACTATGAATAAAATATGATAAAATATATCGTATATGCTGTGTAGATAAAGCTTGGCGGTGGCGAGTTGGATCTCCCTTTGTACTTTGAAATGTTAGTTTTATTGTGAAAGCTCATATGGCATGACATGCTATTTTTGATTTGCCGTGACATCGACATTGCAAAGTCATTCATCTGCAATTCCCAACAAAACTAGTTGCCGACGGTTGGCCACGTATCATGTTAGACCCCAGAAAGATTATTCCTATTTCCAATTTACCCGAAATCTTTCGAGATCAGAGCAATTCCAGTGTGTTTGATTGACACGTCAAAGTATTGATTGAACAATGTTTCATATTGTGGCAGATTTCCACTATTTTGCTCACCACGTTTAATAGTGAGATGGTGTAAAAATACGAGAAATACCATTCAGAATGACACAGCGCGGTAAACCACCGCAAAATGCTGCCAATCAATATATTGCATATTCATTAAAAAAACAAAACAAAACAAAAAAAAACATAAATCAACATTAATTTGCTTTTACAAAGATTTAATTTTTGAAGCAGTTCTTGTTTATGATCTCATTAAATTGTAAAAGAAATGAACCTAGTTTTGATGGCTAATTAACATTTAGATTTTTGTCTTCAACGTAAGATATTTATTGCTTTGTTTTTCTTTTCCATTTTAATTCATTTGAGGGATTAATACAAATTCCCACCAGTCTGCTGAGAGTTTTGAGGTGTCGTTTTGTTCGAAGCAAGGAGCAAGCCACAGTCGTTTCCTGTGCAAATACTGCAATCTTATCTCAACCGCATGCTGAACAAATCAGCTTGGTGTCACACTTGTTTATCTGTGCACTGCACTCACCAATGTCAGAGTGATGTCATTAATAGCAATAACGGTGACGCACTGAGACGAGATCATGAGGTTCCTTTCAAACGCACATGATCACGGCTTCTTATTTGCACAATGATGTGTTTACACATTTCCTAGTATTTCTTTCTTTCTCTGATTCCTTTTCATATATCCTGTTTGACCAATGGAGAGCAGCACTGATTGCAAAAGCTACTACTTTATTTTATTTGTTAACGACATGTTTTAAGGTGTAAACACTGTAATGGTAACCAGCCAACTTGACCTTGGTTGACTTGTGCTTCACTTCTGAAACCGAGTGACAAGTGCCTGCTATTTTCTTCCCTGTAGATCAAGGGTGTCAAACTCATTTTTGGCGCAGGCCACATGTTAGTTACCGTTTCATTTGGAGGGCCATTATGACTGAAACCATAAAAAGAAGTCAAGAATAACTGTTGATTCAACTATTGTTGAAGTTACTATCATGAGGGGTTTGGTAACAAGAAAATGCTTAGAATATATCTCTTACTTATTAGATATGAGAATTTAAAATTTTGGTAGACATTTTAGAAAGGATCATGGAAGTTGACATCTTTGAGCTGCTTTCACGGGCCATATAAAATGATGTGGTAGGCCAGATCTGGCCCCAGGACTTTGTGTTTGACACGTGCTGCAGATGGACAATATAGTTGCACATTTTGCCAACTTCCTTTCCGCATGATTAAAATCCCTCATGACGAGCATCTGATCATATTTGAGCCTGATATCGGCAAGAAGATTTGAAAAGTCATTTTTAAAAATTATATGGCATTTTAAAAATTGTATGGATTTAGGAGGGCGGTAAAGCATGGGGATAGCACAGCCTACTTCAAAGAAATTCGCTTCAAAGCTAGTGATTGATGAGAAACTCACCTCTTGGTTCAACTCATCCTGCCAAGGTATATGGGATTCGGTAGCTCCATTAAAAACTGTGCTGTCAAAACCTACACCTGAGCCTTGGTATAACGACAGAACTCGCGTAGCTAAGCAAAAGCGCCGTAAAGCCGAACCTAAGTGGAAAGAAAGATAAGCTGCAGGTCTCTGATCAAATCTGGAACGACTGCTGATGTAACTATCAGATCACAGTTAAAGAGATCAAAAGAGAACATTTATCAAACCTAATTCAGGCTAACCGTCAAAACTACTATTTAAAACTATTGATTCTGGACTTATACCCCTCAGCCTATTTGCTCAGACTCCTCACCCGAAATGTGCAATAGATTCCTTCAGTTTTTCTTTCTACAGCTAGGACTCAAATACCACAATTGTCCATGTTCTGTGTTCAGCTGTGTTAAATTTGAACGAGGTTGTGTTTGCCATAATTTCTTTGGCGGGTCCAATCAATCACGTATTGATTGATCACACAAATCATGACATGACACCCGATCAGCGATTTTGCACAGATGAGAGCATCTGTGGGAAAAAAGATGCATTAAAATGAATAGATTTCGACAGAGGATTTCCTTTGACAAGTGTCTCTCTCACAACTTCCTTTATTACATACAGGATGGGAACAGTAAAGATGAGCATGAAATGCTCCGAGGAATGTCCTCCCATTCAATTTGTCATCACGAGCATCATAACTTGTTGCGTGTTGAAAAAGCGAAAGGCGGGAGCAGTGTGAGAACATAGTTGGTGACTTTTCCTCTGGCATTGTTTGGTAAAAATAGCGCAGGCGGCACAGCGGGCCATGCGCGGCCTGTCAGCAAGGGGCATGACCGTCGGAGAGGCCCCCGGTGAGTCACAAGCTCACGTCTCGGCCATGAGGAAGTCGAAACGCTTCCTCTGCCTCTCCGCCGGACTTGTTTTGAACAAACGACTGTTGCACTCATTAGTGCAGAGAATAGTCCGTCTACATTTGTAAGGGCTAAACAAAACAGTCCCTCCCATTTCCCAAATTGTACTATGTCAGATTATCTTGATTTTGGGGCGAATGGCATCCGGGGTTATGAAAAAAAACACCCGCTCATACTCACTAACTAGTTTATAGGTACCCCTGCAAAATGTATTAAAAGAAAAAAAACAAAACAAAAAACACCGCAAGAACTGCAGCAAAAAAGTCAAAATTTTAACAACCACATTGCTAAACACATAAACACTTCAACTTCAATCATTATTAGTGATATTGAAAGAGCGTTCGTAACCCTCAGTTGAAATTGATTCAGCGAAAAAGCATGTTAATAACTAAGCTTGACTTCTCGTACCACATGACGACAAGTTATTACACCGCTGGCCAATAAATAAAGTGCTTCACAGGCGAAAGCCCATTTACCACGACCCCCTGCAAAAGTTTGGACATCACACCGTGTCAAATAACCACCTTTGTGTGTGGTTTAAAATGAATATTATTTGAAACAGAAGTGACTCATGGATGTGAAAATCACAGCTAGTAATGTTGTTGAACAATACACCCATACTTCAAAATATTATATAAATGCTCAAAAGCACTTGAACATTATATCAAATTATCATGTTTTGTTGGGGGAAAATGGTGTCTCAGTGATTGCCAAGGTGTGTTTTGTTTCCATTTTCACTTTTTTTTTTTACATTTATTCACAAAGGCGGATGTACAGAGGCAGTTTCCATTTTAAAATAGCACACCCATAAAAATTATTTGATCAGAATACTGATCTTACGTGACTGAACTCATTTTTAGAGGTCCATCAGGAAAGGGACGGGCCAGCAGTGCTCATGTTTCCTGGCGTAAAGAACCAGCTACTTCCTTTGCCTTATTTGACGGCTAACATATAGGAAAAAATAAAAACAAATGATTCATCACCTACTAGGGATTTACCAATTACATTTTTTTGCACCTGGGTCTGAGTCACCTTATTTTGAGGCTATGTCGCTACCAAGTCCCGATCCGATAGCTTAGCAATGTATTAAGGAGGAGGAAAAAAAAGCACATCCAAATTGTCTTTGTATATCAATCCAAAATTTCCCAATCCGCTTACCCTCACAAGCGTCGCTGGCATGCTGGAGTCGATGCCAGCTGTCTTCTAGAAGTAGCCGGGATACACCCTGAACTGGATGCCACACAATCGCAGGACAAGGGCAGACAAACATTCACACTCACAGTCTCAACTGAACTCAACTCGACTGCATTGATAGAGCACTTTAAAACAACCACCGCTGTATACATAGTGCTGTACATGGAGCAAAGATCATATATATAAAAATAAAATAAAGTAATAAAGACAGTAGAAAGCACAAAAAAAGTAAAACTAAAAATCATGTCTCATGCTTAGTCAAAAGCCAAAGAATAAAAATGAGTTTTGAGACCAGTTTTAAAGAAAGTCACACCAAAGAACAATTTTCAGTGTTCAGTTATCCTACCATGCATGTTTTTTTTAATGTGGGAGGAAACCGGAGTACCCAGAGAAAACCCACACAGGCACGGCAAAAATATGAAAATTCCACACACAGAAAGGCCGTGGCCGGGAATTGAACCCTGCACTGTGAGGCGGATGTGCAAACCAGTTGAGCCCCATGCTGCCAACTTTACAGCGATCGATAGATATTTTTTTATTTATCATTGGAGGAAAACTATCCCGACATGGCATCTTTTATATATTTTTTTCAGATGGAGTATTAACTTCTTAAGTTGTATTAAACGCAGCTCTCTCCTTTCCACAATGAAATCATAATAGCAACCATGAGGAGGCATCTCGAAGGGCAACTACGACCAAATACCAAAGGAAGGTGAGGAAGATCCTGAACAGCAGCTGAATGGCAAGAAGAAGAAACAGGCCATTAACACATATGCCCTGCCAGCACTGGAAGAGATGCAATCCACTATTATAAAGACAAGAAAGCTTATTACAATGCATGGAGGCTTCCACCCAAAGTCTGGGGTCCTGAAGCTGAACACAAAGCGGAAAGAGGGGCGCTGTGGACTTGTGAGTGGCATGGGCACGATCCAGGAGAAAACAAGCCTACAAGAATACATCAAGATACTGCCCCCCCAGGGACTACCTGCTGGACCGCTGCTGTGCAAAGAGGCCCCAGAGACGGTGCAACATATCAAAGCAGCGTGTAAGACACCGGCGGGTAAGGTATACATGGAGCGGCAAAAACCAGATGACAAGAACAGTATACTGTAACATCTGGACTAAATATGGACTGGAGGTCCTGGTATCGAGATGGAAGATGCTTCCAAAGGTGGATGAGAACAACCAGGCCAAGCTCCTGTGGGACTTCCAGATCCAGACTGACAAACCGATGATCACCGACTAGCCTGACGTAGTGATGATGGCTGTTAAATATCAAAAGACAGCAGTCGTGGTAGATGTAAGATATCCTGAATGAACATCCAAAATAAGAACATGAAAAACTGGACAAATACCAAGGACTGAAAGAACAACTGGAAAAATGTGGAGCGTAAAGGCAACAATGGTGCCACTAGTGAGTCACTAGTAGCGGGTGTGTTGGAGTCTTATTCTATTAAATCATCAGGGTTTTTTTTTGTTTTTCTTTTTCATTTGTGATAAATACACATATTGTAACAGGATTGTTAATTGTGATAAATACACATTTAACCTTGCAACGGCAACTATTTTTGAAGGTGCTAAAAATGTGAAAAGTCTCCAGCTTACTTCTATATATATATATATATATATATATATATATAGTGTTTGCACATCATTAATAAGGGACATGAAACGCATTTTTACCGAGAATTTGATGATTGAGTAGTGACTTGAGAAGTGTGGCACCACTTCTTACGCAGCTGTAATCACTTTCTACGCCATGTGCGGTGGAGCCAAAGAAGACACCGCATAACTTTGAGGTAAGCTCACTTCTATTGCTTGGATATTCAACCAAGAGGCCTACAATGCCATTTTAAAGATGTCTCTCGGTATGTCACAGTCAGTTACGGAAGGTAGATTCATGAACTCAGTACAAATCTCGTTGAATATTTTTTTTTTTTTTTTGGTGATCATTATGACAGTTTTGCACCAGTTTGGCCATTGATTAAAATGTTTGAGAAATGTGATTTGTCACAAAATATCAAAGGCATCATTCATAACTAGACAGTTAAAATGCTAATTACAACTTCTACAATAGATTGCTTTCAGTGTGCCAGGCAACACAAACAAACAGCAAGTGGGCAAGGCCGCTTCCTCGTGTGCAAGGCGAGTTTTTTTATTTTTTCTTTGCTGCCCCAGTGCACCAACATTCTGACGGTACGTTGAAGGTCTCTCGATATTCTTCACGGGCTTCCGGTGAGCCAGTTTGACAGCCAACAATGTGGATTACATTTCCTGTGAGCATAAAGTCGACAAAGAATTGGATCTCTTGGTATGTCACAGTCAGTTACGGAAGGTAGATTAATGACCTAAGTGCAAATCTCGTTGAAGATTTTTTTTTTTTTTTTTTTTTTGTGATCATTATGACAGTTTCGCACCAGTTTTGCCATTGATTAAAATGTTTGAGAAATGTGATTTGTCACAAAATATCAAAGGCATCATTCATGACTAGACAGTTAAAATGTTAATTACAACTTCTACAATAGATTGCTTTCAGTGTGCCAGGCAACACACACAAACAGCAAGTGGGCAAGGCCGCTTCCTTTGCTGCCCCAGTGCACCAACATTCTGACGGTAAGTTGAAGGTCTCTCGATATTCTTCACGGGCTTCCGGTGAGCCAGTTTGACAGCCAACAATGTGGATTACATTTCCTGTGAGCATAAAGTCGACAAAGAATTGGAATAAGTGGCTAAATGTAGTGTGTGTGTGTGTGTGTGTGTGTGTGTGTGTCTGTGTGTAAATATTTATGTATAAATAAATGCATAACTGACACCTTAAAGCAGGTGAGGCTGCCATTATCTGGCCTATTTCTTTTCTGTTAAACTAAATCATAGTTAAAAAAAGTAACACATTAAATAAATTATCAACCCATTAAAACAAACTTAGTTTATTAAATAATTACATAAAATGACTATATCAAAGTGGGATAATCTATTTTTTGTTTGTTTTTCTCATTTAATTTGGTAATACATGTACCAGACCATAGGTAAACATCTGCAATCAAGACTATATAATTATATATATTTTTTAAGTTTTGCCCTTCCCACACAATTTATTTATTTATTTTTTTACACATTGCAAATATATTTGAAAGGCGGGGCCTTGTAGGGTGGCATGTGGTCTATATGGGAGTGAGCTGTGGCTGACAGCAGCTGTTGCTTGTGCACATTCGTTTTATGTGTTTTATTGTTCCATCGATGTGCAATAAATAGCTGAAGTGACCGTTGCTTACTTTACCACATGGAAAGGCATTACAGGATGAAAGTATGGAGTAAAAAAAAAACAAAAAAAAAACACTACAAACCACAGATATCTATAATATAGTGGTGATTTTGACAGTGGACAGTAGTTACAGTATATTCCGCAAAAGAATCTGAAACATAACGAGGCCATGGTAGGTGAAACTGCATTCTACCAGGGGAACACGAGCAACTTTTGAAAGTATAGAATGAATTTTTGTGTACAAATTAGTTCTGTGCTAAATTAGATTAGTTATTTTCAGCAAGAACTACATTTTACTGGAAAATGACCTCCACCAAATCCCAGAAAACATGCAACAGTGTATCTGTGTTTCTTTGTCAATTAGCACGTTATTTCCTTTTTCATGGAGGATGACAAACACAAGGGCAGAGGCATTCTGATTGAAGAGATTGTATCTACCCAATAGTTTTACTGTTTCTCAGAATGACTGTTGTGAAATAGACACAGAATATACTGGTAGTCCATGACATTAGCACAGTCATGTATCTGTAATGGGAGCACAGCGGTCTAAGTTAGCACCCAAGTTTTGAAGTTTGGGATTTGTATCTAATCAGACCTTCTTGTATGGAGTTGCTGCCCCATGTTTTTGTCAGCTACTCCAGCTTCTTCCCACATTCCAAAAACAGCACGTTAGATTTACTGAAGATTCGAAATGGTCCATTAGGTGTGAATCGGAGCGTGACTGGTCGTTTGTCACCAAACGGATGGATGTGTTTTCTTTACTTTTGTTGAAATGTTACAGTCCAACAACAATTGTAATGTCACAAAAAAATAAGCATTTAAGGAAGCGAGCCCGAGTCACGGAAAGGAGCAATAATTAGCCAGACTTCCTCCTCCTCTTCAGATCATGTGTGCCCTTGTGGTTTTACAAGACCAAGAGTAAAACAACACATGAATTTTTCGACCTTTAACCAACACCGTTTTATTGTTTCATTTTCATAGAATCAGAACACCAAGATGGGTACCACCCATTCTCCCATGATGGGTGACCACCAGTCCGCTGACAACGGTTCCACCTGCGACACCCTGTATGACCACAGGAGCTACGCCCGAGTCTTAATGCCACTCGTTTACTGCGCGGTCTTCCTAGTGGGTCTGCTGGGCAATGCCCTGGCGCTACACGTCATCCGCCCCAACCTGAAAAAGATGAACTCCACCACCTTGTACTCGCTCAACTTGGTGATTTCGGACATCCTCTTCACACTGTCACTTCCTGTGAGGATCACATACTATGCGCTGGGTTTCCACTGGGCCTTGGGTGAGGCTCTGTGCAAAATCTCAGGCCTCATCTTCTACATCAACACCTACGCCGGTGTCAACTTCATGACCTGCCTGAGCATCGACCGTTTCATCGCAGTCGTCCTGCCCCTGCGCTTTTCCCGGCTGCGCAATGTTAGCAACGTGCGCTATATCTGTGTCGGCGTGTGGCTGCTGGTCCTGGCGCAGACACTCCCACTCCTTGGCATGGCAATGACCAATGTCGAACCGGACGGCTTCATCACCTGCATGGAATACCCTAATTTCGAGAAAGTAGACCACATCGCAACCATCCTCATCGGCGGAGTGTTCCTCGGTTATGTCATCCCCGTAATCACCATCCTGATGTGCTACTCCATCCTTTGCTCCAAACTCCACTCCACAGCGAAGACCAACCACCTCACGGAAAAGTCTGGACGCAGCCGCAAGGCCATCGGCGTCATCTGCTGCGTGTCGCTGGTTTTCGTGGTCTGCTACAGTCCCTATCACATCAACATCCTGCAGTACATGATCCGCAAGCTCGTGTCCAGCCTGGACTGCACCGACCTGACTGCCTTCCAGGTGTCGCTGCACATCACGGTGTGTCTGATGAACCTCAACGCCTGCTTGGACCCCTTTGTCTACTTCTTCGCATGCAAGGGTTACAAGAGGAAGCTCCTGAAGCTGCTTAAGCTAGAGGTCAGCGTGTCCGTCTCCAGCGTTGCCAAAACTTTGCCCGAAATCTCTCTGAAGGAAAATATTGATGGCAACAACATTCAGCTCAGCGGTTCTGCTGCTGGCTCAGGCAACGAGAAGCTGATGGAGAGGAGATCGCAGCTCTATGTGTAAACAAGAGGAATAGTGGAGGGACCGAAGCAAAGACATTTCGGGTGACAGAGGTCCAATGTCCACCAGGAGCGTTTCAAAGGTCATTACAGGCAACATCTGTTGGGCCATCTGGTTTCTAAAAGAACAGATTAGAACTTTGTCTGTTTACCTCTCAAGAACTTCCCAGTGAAACGGTTGGCAATGACACCAACTAGATTGTACGAACATTGACCAACTTCAGGCTATGAACCTGGACTTGAGCCTTCCTGCTTTGCCTGAAACTACTTCATTTTTGTTCTATTTAGCTGCAATTTCCAGAAGTCACTTATAAGAGACTGAGGCTTTTTTTTCGACATGTACAGGGTGTTTTGAAGAATCTTAAATAAATAAATACAACAAATCTGAGGCTGTCAAGGGCATGCCAATGATGAAATGGTTTATCCAGTTAAACCATCATCAAATTTACATCACCGAGTGTAATTAGCATATTATTTACTGTTACTGAGAATAGACTGTCAGCTTCTACGGTCCAGAGCACTCCATTGCAGCAAACAAATGGAGGGGAAACATGCACTTCACTTGATGGCAAAGAAGACAACATCAGAGGTTTATGTAACAGCTGGTGTACAAAACATGGAGGAAAGCAACCCAGGTGACGGTGATATATTTTCATCGACAACGAGGAAAAGGGCGGAATTGTGGGCATGTTTCACTTTCTATAAAACTGTAAGATGAAACCAAGACAATAACGCAGCGTGCATGTCAAGAATTCAGGAAAAAAAGTTGCAACATGACAGATCTTTTGAGACATATGCATGATCACTCTTCGCCTCAGTCATTTCAAGTAAGTTTTGTGAGGTCTTGCATGCCTGAAAATTCACATTGGTTGCTTTGATGTCTTGTCAAAAAGTACATATGGTTACTGATGATATAGTTTTAGCATTAAAAACAAAACATGCAATTCCTCAACGGCATTGAATGATGATAATGCGTGAGATGAAACTTGCACAACAACAATTTTGAACAGCGGAGAATCATACTGCTCACATGGACTGACCACGATAAATAGGAAGATAAGATTTAAATTGCCTTGAGACAAGATTAATCAATTTCTCAAATCAGCCACATTTTCTGTAAATCCTCGATTTTTAAATTTGTTATTTTCAAACAGATTTACAGTTGTTGTTCCTGTCCCAGATGAGGTTTCTCATTCAGAAAGTGGCTGCGGTTAAAATTACATCATTTCACTGCAGGTGTTAGCACGGAGCCACAGCCCAAATATTCTGTTTATGCATACTTGCTGTTGTGAACTGAAAATAAGTGGTTTCACAAACTTTCATGTGAAATCAAGGGATGACAATCCAGTGTCAGTGAAAATGGTTTTGGAGTAATTTCCAAAAATAAATGATGAAGATGTCATTCTCTGGGATTTACAGGGCATCTTCCCATTATTCTTTAAAAAAAAAAAAACAACAAACTATGAATTTTTAAAATGAAAAGTTTCTCTGTTTTCCTTTGGTCAGGTAATGGCTCTACTGAGTTAACAATATCAGACCTGTATTAGTTTTGCTAGAGACAGCACTTAAAAAAAAAAAAAAAAAAAAATTGGAGTACAAATCAGAATTCTCATCTGTAATAACCAAAGAATTACATATCGTCAGCAGCCTGGTCTGTTCTGGTTTTGAAAGTGACCTAAAAATGTCCACATTGTGTGACAAAAAGGCAAGTGAGTCAAATGATGATGTTGCATTGAGCAATGATTCCAATCGGACTGCATACTGGGCATATTCAGGTCCTCATGTATTACAGAAGATATGGAGCGCGCAATTCACAAGTTTCGAAATAAAAATATCTGGCTGTTTCAATCACATGAATGGGATACTTGTGGTGAGCAATATCACACAAACAAGAGTTGGGAAGTCACAGCTGGGTCCTCCAGGGGACATTTTCAACGTTGTGGCTCAGTCAAGGTCACGTAAGCCACGATGAGTGCTGAGGGATGTCCCAGTGTTTTTCCTGTTGGTCTGCACAGGATCTACTCTTTCAGCAACAACCCTGCTTCTCCCCAACCCCTTTTGGGGCCAAGGCTGCCTGGCTCCAATTATTAGTTTCAATAAACAGTGTTTGTATGCACTACAATGACAATCTGTCAGCCTTAAACTTGCGAAAAGAGTCAAGTGAAGGTCCAAACGTTTGCATGCAACATATTTTGTACCGAGCATTATTGACATACATTTCACTCTATATCAGCCGCGAAAAGGGAGGGAATATGACTCATTGTCATTACGGTCACTGTTGAGTTTGGGGTTATCCCAGCTAATTTTAATTTTAAATTGATCAAAATGTCACAATCGTCATATCAAATACAGAGCAGGAAATAAAAAAATACTTTCAGTCAATCAACACAGCAATTGCAACAACAAACACATAAAATTATTGTGTCACAATGTTTAAATGATGATTATGATGACCAAAATAAGTTTAACAAAGAGCAAATAAAACACCTACATTAATATAATTTTAATTATGGTATAAATATATGCTTGCATATTAATTTAACCATACATGTTAATATAGAAAATTAATATAGTTAATATACACTGTGTTCAAAGGTTACAATTATATTTTAACACAAATATGAGTATTACATCCTTTTGCCATGCTGTTTGGTTTTTAAAAAAAATTTTTTACGTTTTGCAATAATTGACAGTTCATCTGATCAATATTAGACGCAAAGCATCACAAAATATATTTATTTATATGATACCGTCATACCAATACATACATCTATACAGTTTATACATATGTTCGCAGTAATGTGTTTATTTTTCAGCATGTTTTTTTTTTTTTTTTTTTTTTTTTGCTGGTTGCAATTAAGTAACTACTTTCAGCCTCTAGATGGGAGTATATACCCAGTTTGGAGAAAATTTCACGGTGGGCGCAAATCATCCTGGCCATTCATTGTATTAGGCAAAATAACATCTTTCGTAAACATAGATATAGTGGAACAGAAGTGGTAAAAAAAAAGTGATAAACCTGTACAGAACCTATGCAGAATTTATTTATGAAGTGGAGGACTTACTAAAACAACCGCATGACAAGTATCAAAGGGATTAAAAAAAAACAGCGGTGCAGACAGGCTGTTGTCATAACAACATATTGCAGTGAACACAAAGTACCATCTGGTTGGGACCTTTTTAAGACTCATCGAGGGGACAAGTCGATAGATAATTAGGAATGAAAATGAGGCACTCCCGTATAAATAACAAGGGTGCTGAAAATATGCAGACATTTAAATGAAGCTGCAGCATCAAAACAAGCTGAGTGGAGAACATCTGTGTGGGCCCCGGACGTCGTACATTTCCGAATTTTACCAACAGTTTAGGGGAAAAGCACAAACATTCAGTCCTTAGCGTTTCCCTTGAGATTTCAGATGAGTGAGCATTGAAAAGGAGAAGACAAGTCAAAATTTTCTTGACAATATGTTATATTCTCCCAGACAAGTCTATAAATAGTATTTTGATTAATTTTGCATTTGTGTAATGTGAATGCAGCGGTGGGGGGACGGGGGGGACACCTGTTTTAAACCGTCTCAGATGGCGGCCATTTTGCTTTCGACTGAAAATAACATTGCAGTGCCTAACAGCTCAGGTAACGACTGTCACTACTCACCCGGTTTCTGGGTGCCCTTATTGAGCACTAAGGTGACAAATAAACCAATGGCATTTTTCTTCTTATCTTAAATGGACCATATGGTGTAAGAAGGGTTGAAAAAGGGATCATCTGGCCAGGATGGTTTTTTTCAATAACAAGCTCAATTTATGTAGTTCTGTTTTTTTTTTTTATTATTTTTATTTTATTCTTTTATCTGGAAAATGATACTACCTAGCATTTTCAATTTTAACCATTTGTTTTGGAGAAATCGGGAAATAAATCATGATTTGCAAAACGTCCACCAAAAATTTGAATCACGGCCACGCCCCCTCCCTCCATGTCTTGGTGGGAAGTTCATCAATACCCCAGTCTTTAAGTGCTGGGACGAGTTTAGGTTTCGGTACACATTTCTATGAGCAATACACATCAATATGCATTCAATGGGCAGACCTTGACATTGACATTTAACCCCTGGTACGCTTTCTCTGCATTAAGTCGCCACTGTGTTTAAAAACAAAACAGCAACCACATTTTGCAACACCCGCGTGAAGTGTCTATTACAGCCATCTTATTTCTTGTTTATACGGCAACTGCCTGAACATCCTGTTTTTAATTACTTCTCTGCTGCAGCAGATGCTTCTCGCCAGCAACCTGCTGCGGATGACTCCCTCGAGAGCTAATGTGCTGTGACAGACCCCACTTTTCCAATCAATAACTCGCCCTAAATCTGCCATCGCTCTGCCTGCCAAACGGAGTGCCCCTGCTTCTAATGGTGCATCATTTTCTTTAAGGGGGCGTAATTGTGAACAGTGACATCAAACACCATAGAGGGAGAAAGTGCATGCACAGGAAGTGATGTTCAAAAAGTCAGACTTCCTTATTTTGCCTCTCGGATGCTCACTGGTGCAACAGAGCATTTCGGTGATTGTTGTGGTAAGCTGCATCATTTCGTGATAACTTGTGGCAAGTAGAAAGAGTACAGATTGGTGTTTTTTATTTATTTATTAAAGGATTTTGCTCAATTTTACATTGAGTTGTTTTAAGTCAATTTTACGTTGTGTTGTGTAATAATTTCAACTTCTATGACACACAATGATTATCTTTTTGGGCTTTGCAGTGGTGTGTTATCTCATAAGAAAAAGTACTGGCAGTGCATTACATCACAGTAGACATTACAGTGTAATACTACTGTACACTGATGCGATCACATGATTTCCTAAGGCCCAACAAGTTACAGAGAAAGGATACAGTAATCGCACTTCCACATTTTGCTCCACGACACCACTTCAAATCTGAAGCTATGAGAAGATTATTTAGTGCTTTTTATTTATTCTATTTAACAAGTACAGTATGCAGACAAGAAGAGAGTTTTGTGAATTTATGACATGAATATAAAATAGTCCACTCACATTGTCATTCCGTTGTTCCATATTTATGCACTAATGATGCACTGTTTCCATGTGAGGTGGCAGACAATTTTTTATTGAAATAAACTTTCGGTTTCATGTGGACTTGAGCAGAAAGTCTTCCTGTTTTGAGTGTGGAAAACCCCATTTAATTATATGTGGACTTTTTTTGGAGAGTGTAGTCGCTGAAAGTGTAGTGGTACACTCGGCAGACATGGGATCGGTGCCCACTCAGTGACAGTGTGCATGTGGGTCTGAATGGTCATTTGTCTCTATATGTGCTCTGCGACTGACTGGCGACCTGTTCAGGGTGTAGTTGCCTTGCGCCCAAAGTCAGCTGGGATAGGCACAAGGGAAAGAAAATAATGGTGAAGTTGAAGTTATTTGCCCTATGTCTATTGCTGTATCTAGTCTCGTAAAACATTGTAACACAACGGACAGAGAAAAACAAATGAAAGCATATCTGAAATATCCGACATGATGTATCAAGGCAATAATAATTAATGCTTCCAACATTTTAGTCCTTGACATAATATTGCCGATGGATCATTTGATGCAATGGTCCCAACTGATTTCTAACAGGCGGAGCTTTACTAAATCTCATCATTAATCTTCTGGGTTAGACAAATCAAATAGAGGCCGTTGACCCAATACACGGATTCACTGTCCTACAATTGCCCGCGTGAAATGCGCGTCCGACTACAACATTCGCAAGGGGAGATCTTGCAGTAGAAAATACCAAAAATGTGGAGACACCACCCGAGCTAGACTGCTGGACTTAGGCTGCAAACAAAAATAGGGGCCCTTTTGACAAAGAAATCACTCTTTTAATTTGATATTTGCCAGTTGAAAATGGGAAGTACTAATCATACCTGAATTATTGTGTGTTCTATTATTTATTTTTTTTTTTTTACTTTCCCAGTAGAATACTATCTTCAGGATGACACTGCTTCCAAACTCTTCCCACACTTGGCTTCCGGTTGAGCATCGTACATTTGGCCTGGTCTTCTACAGCTGTGTTTTCATCATCGGAGTCATCGTCAACATGACAGCTTTGTGGGTGTTTGCCCTGACCACCAAGAGGAGGAGCTCCGTCACCATCTACATGATCAACGTGGCACTAGTGGATCTCACCTTCATCCTGATGCTCCCCTTCCGCATGGTCTACCTCCAAAGGGACTTCTGGCCCTTCGGCGACCTTTTGTGCCGTGTCAGTGCCACTCTCAATGTCTTCTACCCCTGCATTGCCCTGTGGCTCTTTGGTCTGATCAGCGCTGATCGCTACCTGGCCATTGTGCAGCCCAAGCAAAGCAAGGAGCTACGAAATGTCCCCAAGACGGTGGTGGCATGCCTTGGGGCCTGGCTCATGACCCTGGCCGCCACCGCATCCTTGCTCTTCTCAGCGGACGATCCTGATGGCGTCGCCAACTTCACCACCTGCCTCAAAACGGTGGACTTTATCTATCTGCGCCACAACGGTCCTGTCAATTTCACATGGATCGCGTTCTTCTTCCTGCTTCCCATCTGCATCATGATTGGCTGCTACGTGGTCATCGTGGACAACCTGATCCGCGGGCGCGCCTCCAAGCTCAAACCCAAAGTGAAACAGAAGTCCATCCGCATCATCATAACGCTCATCGTGCAGGTTCTGGTGTGTTTTGTACCCTTTCATGTATGCTTGCTGCTCCATTTACTAGGATTGGACAAAAATGAGGCCTTCAGGAAGTGGGCTGTGTTCTCTACCTTCCTCATGAACTTGAGTAACGTTTTGGACATCATTCTCTACTACAGTGTCTCCAAAGAGTTCCAGGAGAGGGTTTTTAGTGTGATCCTGTACCGTAACTACCAGCGAAGTGTCCGGAGAAAGAGCAGACATACGAGCAGCATGCGATCCATTAGCAATGTGACAAGCGGCATGATTTGAAACAATGAAATGAAAAGATGACGCAATATATCAGACAGGGCAGCAAGTGGTCAGCATGTCAGCTTCACAGTTCTGAGGTTCGGATTCGAATCTCAAATCCAAGCTTCCTGTGTGGTGCTTGAATTTTCTCATCTGTGTGAGTTTTTTCTGGGTACTCCTGCAACCTCCCACACTCCAAAAATATGCATGACGGGTTCATTGAAGACTCTAAATCGTCCATAGATGTGATTGGTGATTATGAGTGTAAATTGTGCGTTGTTTTTTTTTTTTTTTTTTGTCCATATTGGCTGCCAAGTTACCCCACCTCTGGCCCTTAATACTCCATAGCTCCAGCTCACCCATGACCCTAATGAGAACAGGTGGTATAGAAAATGTATGATTGCATCCGTCAGACACATAAAAACAAGCGGTAGAAGAGTCCGGCATGTAATTTACACTCATGGTGTGCATGCGTGCTCCTATTGTGGTGAAAACATCTGTGTGCTGAACTGATGGAGCCACCCAAGAGATTTCAGAACATCTTTACACACAAACAAGTTTTTTTTTTGTTTTTTTGTTTTTGTTTTGCAATTTCACTGTGCGCATGAAGGTGAAAATAAGGCTCACAATCATTAAGATATAGCCTCCAGTAACATCTTGGCAAGCTCCATCATTCACACGTAAACATGTAAAAGCTACAGTAAGTTGATTCTATTAAATTTCTTTTTTTGGTCATGTACTTTTGGGTTTTGTTAATGTTATCATTCAGATGGAAGCTTAAGTCCTGTATTTCCTCTAATGTTGTCTACCTAAGCCAGGGTGCAGCATCCACTTATGACAAATAAATTCCATCCATACGTGATCTGGTCCGGTTAGTTTCATGAGGGTCGCGGGACAAATAAATTCCTCAAATAAAAGAGACATTGTAGAATGTTCAAGTCCCCCATTTTATAACAGTTGCCATGTGTCTTTACATCAAAGTGGGATTAAAACCCTTTTACACACCCTATTGACTGCCTTACTGAAATCGGCCTGTTTTTAGCAGCGGGCCCTCATGCAAGTATATCCCACTCAATATGCAGCCGGGCCGATCATGGCTCTGTCTCTGCGACAACGAGCAGGGGCAAAGCACAACTCTTGTGACTTAAGTGACTTCCAACTGCAGGAGCAAGAAGCGAGTGCCTATCCACCTTGATCATCTGCCCCATATGCGCTTTTTGGGTGAATAATGGGCGCGATTTTCACTATGAACCGGAACCAGCATTTTGTTTACATGGTAACTGGTTGTGCAAGTCAACTTTCTATGACAGTTTGTGTCTCAAACGGGAATGCACACACGTTTCAATGTCTCTTCCTACTAATGTATTGAGGTAGGAGGATGAGATAAAAAAGTGGCTAGTGACTACATACAGTCACATGTTTAGATGCTTTCTGAATGCTGTCAGCATTTTTATTATATATATATATATATATACACACACACACACACACACACACACACACACACACACACACACACGCATACCATCCATGCTCTTTATGGATTGTATATAAATATTTACAAAGTGATTTAAAGGTGATTAAAAATAATAATGCTTATTGCAAATATAAATAATCCTGATAAAATAAAAGAAATTTTCTGCACGTAAAATGAAATGGGTCACACTCATAGCAAGCATTGTGTTGAAAAATATATTGGCCAGGTGATGGCGGCATAGCACAGCTAGTCCTCATCTGCCTGGCTACACTAAGACAAAGAAAAACTTTTTTTCATATCCAAGTGGAAAAAGTGGAAGGCTTGGTGTGTGTGTGGATATTTTTTTTTTTTACTACAACAAATGGAGATTGTTAACCTCTGCGGCCATCACAACAGCGTTGCAGCAGTGCATGTTATTGATTGCATGTTAAATGATTCAGACACTCAAAGTGCATTTACAGTAACATCATCAGGAGAGGTCAGTGAGGCCAAAAAGACAATGACTGGAGAAACACGGCAACGCTTTGGATGGTTTTCTTGTGGAGAAAATCATTCACATGCCGTGCAATAGATTGTGGTCGATGTAGTCTTCAGTAGGTAATTGGACTACATCGGGAAGTGATTGCAACACACTACAGACAAAAATAAATACATACACATAATAATAATAATAATAATAATAATAATAATAATAATTCAATGCATCTCAACTAGACATATTGTCGGGTTTTGTAGTCTAATATCCATTCGATTGATTTGCCAGTCAGTGTACCTCAAGTGCACCCTCCTCTCCCCACACACAGTTGTTTTCATCCAATGAACTTTTGTTTTTACATGATGTGGCGGTCAGAGGACTATTGCCTGAGAGGACGAAGTGTCTGACAGAGCATTTGGGTCACAGGTGATCTGAGGCCTCACACACTTGACTATGGGCGAGAGGCGGGGTCTACAAAAACTCGCTAGTTGCATGTCAGTTACGATACAATATTTCTAAACAAGCTGAACAGCTTCTGTGAAACCAAGGATTTACCTGGGTTTAGAAACCCAGGTAAATAAATACCCAGGTAACCTTTTTGTTCGATGTTGGTTTAAGAAGGTATCAGACTCATGATGTCTGGGCAGGGGTCAAACATTGCATCTTTGTTTTAAATCAGGAGTCACCAATGTAGTGGCACACACAGACTTCAAGGACCATGAGTAGCCCGCGGACCTGTTGCTGTAAAAATAGTCCACCGGTGATGGGACATGCTGTCTAAGTGACGATTTGAAAATGTCAACATTGGCAGATTTATAGAGATGAAGTGTTACATATTGACATCGATCTGTTTCATAATTAAACAAATCATTAAAGGAATCAATGTCTGCTCATTGATGAACACCAATAATTATTAAAAATAAAGTTATTATGAAAGGTAAATTGAGAATAAATCAATTATTTCAGAAGTGTGTATCAAAACAGTAAGCCTTTGCGTTAATCAGTACCCAAAAGAGCTCTCAGTCTCAAAAAGATTGTAACACACTAAGATACTCACTGTCGAGCATGGTTCAAAAATGTCCATACTGATAGATTTACATTGTTTAATGAAAAGAAAACCTGCAAGTGATCCATCTTTAACACAAAGAATTCAGAGGAGTGCATAATGATGGGTTTACTACCCGATGAACGACAAGCGGATTTATAACCAAGTGGTCAAAGGTGACATGATGCATCTGAGGATCATCTATCCCTCCCACCTGTTAGGCATCAGACTCCACCAAAAACCCACCGCACCCCCCCCAAAAAAGCTGAAAGCCATGATTAATGGGCCCATTTTTTCCGCAGCAAATTCTCAAAATGATCATCAAACTTTGATGCCATGTGCCACTCACATCAGAGGGCAGACGCCAGAAAGAGCTGATACCATGCGCATGGTTCATTCAAACATTTGTGTGCTTCCAGTGTTGATAAACATGTCTACGGAATTTTGTGTCAATCCATAAAACTGATACTGGGGTCCAACCTGTCTATCTTTCTAGGGTGGTCGAATGAATAACTTTTAGGGGGTTGGTTTCAGGACCACTAAAATTGTCATGGGTCTGTTCTTGTGTGTCTCCACAGCAGGTGGCAGAGGAAGGGTTTCCCTCCAGCGTGCACACCTGCTGTTAATCAGCGGACTATTTAAGGATTTCCAAGTTGTCATGTCCCTGTTGGATAATTCATCTTGCTCACGGCTCTGCCACCAAGTATTGAATTCTTCTCGACCAGGGGTAGGGGACTCCGGTTCCTCGAGAGCCACATCCTGCCTGTTTTAGGTCCCTCCCTACTCCAATACACCTGCTTCAAACAATTAGCTCATCAGCAAACTCTGTTGAGGCCTGAACAATTGGATCAGGTGTGTTGGAGTAGGGAAGGACCTAAAACAGGCAGGATATGGCACTCGAGGAACTGGAGTTCCCTACCGCCGTTGTAGACCATATGTGTCAATGTCCAGTCCTTGAAGGCCGATGTCCTACATGTTTTCCTTCTCTCCCTGCTGCAACACACCTGATCCGAATGATCAGCTCATCAGCGAGCTCTATAGGAGCCTGATAGTGATCCTGATCATTTGAATTAGTTGTGTTGCAGTAGGGAGACATGGAAAGCATGCAGGACAACAGCCCTCAAGGACTGGAGTTTGACACCTGTGTTCTAGACGTTCCATGTTTCATGCTCTTCGTTTTTTGACCTTGCCACGTTTTTTTGCACTTACCTTTGAAAGTAGTTTTTTGTTGTATTTGTCACATTTTTTTGCATCATACGCATTTTGCTTGTTTATTTATTGACAAGCTATATCCGTTTATATTTTGTTCTTGCCTTTTACAAGAGTTTTGGGTTGTTTCATTTTCCTGATGCTTTACCAGAGTACTTTCTCGGTCTTGCGACCTTTTTTTGGGGGGTGTGGAGGGGGGGGAATAAACCTTTTTGTCAATTCTGTCTGGAAACCCTGATCAAAATCATAAGTTACCAGGATACACACTTGCAAAAATGGGTGTGTTTTTCAACATCTAGGCAATCCATTCGTCATAATTGTAAACACAGCACCCGCAAAGAAGGAGGGAAATGGGCGTATCAAGAACAAAGTTATTACATTTATACATTAATGCCAGTAGGTTGGGCCTTGAATCTCTTTGTCACACTTCAGATGGTTGGTCAACCTGACCTCGTGACACAGATATGCCCCAACCCCAACCACAAGCAATGACAAAATCTTCTTGAGCCTCACCTACTGTATCTGTCGAATATGTACAGTGGCATATAAATACTCTCAGGTGTTTGGGGACTTTGCCCTATCGCGTATAATTAAAATGCAGAAATAACCGACGCCCCATAAGGGATTCGTAATTGCATGTACATTCCATACGATGGCATCAAATTACTTAAAACAGAGATGATCACAAAGCATCAACACCATATCTCTTGCACAAACAAAATCATTTACCCATGGTATAGAAGCAACTGTATTCAGTAGTTAAATCAGTCAACATAAACATGAGGCTCATAGATAGTATTGGCTAACATTCTAGCCTAAATAACATGCCAGCACAAACTCTGGTGACATCACATGTGGGCAAACAAATATGCGCACTAGCACGTTACATAAATGTAATGCATCATTAAAACCACTGTTTTTATTTTTATTTTTTTTATTTTACTGTTTTTTTTTTTTTTTTTTTACTCACAGACATGCCAATCAAGTTGTGGGATGAATTTTATTACAAATAGTCAAGCACTAACACTTGTGGAGCTGACTTAGGCTACGTTCACACTCCAGTGCATGATGCCCAAGTGGGAATTTTGTAAATATGTGTACTCCACCTACTGCCCGAAGAAGGCTGGGATAGGCTCCAGCATGCCTGTGATCTTTTTAATGCAGCCGTTTATCAGTTCTAAATCATCTTGTTTTCGCCACTGTTTTCTGCTCTTTTATCTGACATTGCATTTCGTGCAGTCTGTTTTGTCCAATGTGATGTTTGTGGCCTGATGATGTGTATGTCAGATGAGCACGACCTGAGCGTCCAGACGGCCATTGCATCTCTTACTTATCCGATTTAAATCGGCACACTAGGGGTCATGGCCTTTGAGCCTGTTTTGTGGGTCTACTTCTAGTTGACGTGACTTAACAAAATGTGTTTTTATGCGACACATAACGAAATTTTTACCTGGGTGAACGCACCTTCAAAATTCTGTGAGTATTCGGCCCAAGAACAATCACAAAAATAAACAAAGCAAGATCAAGAAGACC